GGGAGCCATGAGGGGCCGGGGACTACACCTCCCGGGGGTCTAGATGCGCTGTGAGGGACCAGAGGGACCGTGACGGGTCCGGATGTGCCGCGGGACCGCGAGTCACCGTGAGGGACACGGACTCCATCTCCCACCATGCCCCGCGCGGCTGTGCCTCGGGGCCGTGAGAGACCCTGAGGGACATGGCCTGCAGCCCCCGGGGGGCTGGATGCGCTCTGAGGGGGACATAAAGCACTGTGAGGGGCATGGACTACACCTTTCGGGGGTCTGGGCGTGCTGTGGGAGCCGCGAGGGGGGTGGAGGGGCCGCGGGACACGGAACCGAGCCGCGCGCCCCGCCCCGCCGCCATCTTGCCTTGCCGCCATCATGCCCGAGGATCACGACTGGGAGGCGTACAAGGTGCCCCCGAGCCGCACCCCTGCTGCCGACAGGACCACCAGCGTCCCCAACCCCGTCACCTTCCTGCAGACCGCCTTCGACTATGTCATCGACGCGCCCGTCACCTTCGTGCGAGGTACGAGCGGGAGGAAGGCGCCACCACCCCACCGCGCTGCCTGGGGCATGGGGACACGGGAGAGGGAACACGCAAGGGCATGGGGACGCGGGGTGCAAGTAATATAACACGGCCTGGGCGAAGGGACAGGGGACACAAGGACATGAGAGCATGGAAAGAGGGACAGACATGGTGACACGGGACACAGACACATGAGACACGAGATGGATAGAGGGACAGACAGAGGGACATGGGACACAGCATGGGCACAGACACATAGCATGGAAAGAGGAAGAGACATGGCAGCATGGGACAGAGACACATGAGACACAGGATGGATAGAGGGACAGGGACATGGGACACAGACAGAGGGACAGAGACACAGGCGGGCACAGGGAACACCGAGCTGGGTACAGACGTAGACCTGCTGCTGTTGTGGTGCCTAGGGAGGTGGCACTAGGCCTGAGCAGCAAGGGGTGAGAGTGCTGGGGCCGGAGCTGTGACAGGACTGTCCCTGCAGAGTGGATTGAAAGGCAGCAAGCAAAGAACAAGACCTACTATTACCACCAGAAGTTCCGGCGTGTGCCTGACTTGAGCGAGTGCCTCGAGGGTGACTACCTGTGCTTCTACGAGGCTGAGGCCCAGTGGAGGAGGGACCGGTAAGGTTGTCCCCAGGTATGGCTGTCCCTGAGCTGTCCCAGCTCTGAGCATTCAGCCCTGGCACCTGCAGTGGTTGGGTTGAACCCACAGCGTTTCACATCACCCACCTCAGCGCTGCTGTCCCAGGGTGGGATCCTATCAAACTGGGTCTCCTCACCCCCTGGTTCAGCTTTGCTGTCATTTCTTGGCTGTTATAGTAGTCACCATGATGTTTGCTGTAGGATGGTTGACCAGGAGATTGTGGAAATAGTCCGGGAAAGGCTGGGGGCCTGCCAACACAGAGAAGGGCCCAACCAGTTCCAGAACTGTGCCAAGGAGATGGAGCTGCTGGCACAGGTCACCAAGGCATACCAGGACAGATGTGAGTATGGCAGTGGGTCTAAAAGCCAGGAAAGGGGACTCAAAGCCAGGAAAGGGAGGGAGCTTAAAGCCAGAAAAAGGTCTCAAACTCAAGGAAAGGGTCTCAGAGGCAAGGAAAAGGGTTTCAAGGCCAGAGAAGAGGTCTCAAGGCCAGGAAAAAGGGTCTCAAACCACATCCCAGACTTCCCATGGAACAGACTTAGTTCCTTTGAGTTGCTGAGGCCAACTCCTCAGATATTTCCTTTCTCTTAGATGGGGATCTTGGTTACCATGGCAATGCCAGGACATGCCTGATGAAGCAGAAGCACAGGATGATGGAGGAGAGGAAAGCAGCACAAGCCAAGGAGTAGGTGGGAATGGCTCCACCTGCCCATGGTGCTGGGATCCAGGTGCATGCTGCATCTCTGAGCTCTGGTGCTGTTTGCCTCCACAATAAATGTGCAGCCCAAACATACCTATTTGGCGTCTGGACTTGTTCTTTGAGGAGCTTTCTAAAGCCCTTAAAACCCAGGAACCACAATGGGGATTTCCCTCTGGACCTCTCCCCCTATTCCATGAGCCACCAGAAACAGTCTGGGCTGCTCTGGCTGAGAATTTCCCAGTTTGGGGACCAGGTTGGATAGGGCTTGGAGCAACCTGGGCTAGTGGAAGGTGACCCTACCCATGGCAGGGGGTCGGATGAGATTGTCTTTAAGGTCCTTCCAACCCAAACCATTCTATGACTCCATGATTTAAGCCCCATACTGACCCCCCCATTACACCAAACACAGTTCCTGGTTCACTGAACACTTTATTCCTGCACAGAACCCTCTCAGGTGGTGGCCACAGCAGCTGCCTGTGTCCTCTGAACCGACACCCTCGTGTGAGTCTTCGCCAGATGATCTGTGAACTCCTGCAAGAAAAAAATGCATAGAAACAGCAGTTCATTTCCTTAAACCACCCCCAGGTCCCTCAGCACCACTCCCCATCCCTTACAGCCTTGCACCAGGGCTGGGGGAGCTCAAATTATTTCTGGTTAATATTCCAAAGCTTTTCTCTGTCCATGAAATTCCATTCTCAGTTATTACTCAAGCCCAAGGTGCTTAAAATTGCACTTTGCTGGCAGTTGGCTCAGACTGAGATTATCATATATCTCATTATAAACTTACAGTTCTATGGGTACAAAACTCTGCATTTCAGGGGCAGGATTTGGGCTGGAAATTGCTGTTACCTGGTAAGGAGACTTGGTGAAGACAGTCTCTTTCCAGAGGTCAGGAGTCAAGTAGCTGTAGGTCTTGGAGATGGCATCAAAGGTGGCTTTGGCTGTGGAGAGAAGTCACATCGGTGTTGCAGAACAGCTCCCACACCTCCACAATCATCCCACAGCTCCCAGATGATCTCACAGCTCCAGAAATGTGGAATTGTGCAAGGAGCAGGGAGCCCACAGCACGGTCTCTCTGCTGAACACACAACTCAGTTTCTCTCTCTCCAGTTACGACAATTGCACTACAGCACAGTGCAATGGCGCAGATTGGGAGATGCTTTAGGTCAACCCACCACTAACTCTTCCACAGCTCCAGGAGCACCTGGGGCAGGACCCACCTACGGATTTTACCCTCCTGTGAGTGCCCCAAATGCCCGAAACCCCACCCCAGACTGACCGAAGTTGCCCAGGGTGGCAGTGCAGCCTCGTGCCGACGTGTAGCAGTCATCAATCCCAGCCATCATTAGCAGCTTCTTGGGCACAGGGGCAGAGACGATCCCTGTGCCACGCGGAGCTGGGATCAGCCGCACCAGGACCAGGACAGAGCCACAGCGACCTGTCACCTGCAGGAACACCATGAGGCACAGCTCCCACACAGCTCATGGCACAGCCACCTCACAGAGGCATCAAGGTTGGAGGAGACCTCTTAAGCTCAGAGTCCCACCATTAACCTGTCATTGCTATTACCCCTAAACCATAAACCATATCCTTCAGCTCCAGATGCCTCTTAAACATTTCCTGGGATGGTGACTTCACCACCTCCATGGCCAATTTCCTATTCCAGTGCCTGAACACCCTTAACAGGGAAGAAATTTCTCCTAACATCTCTGACTCTGCCCTGTCTCAGCTCAGGCCATTCCTTCTAGTCCTCTCCCTGCAGCCATGGCAGGAGAGACATCCCACATCTCTCTCCAACCCCTGTCAGGGAATCACAGAGAGCCATGAGGTCACTCCTGAGCCTCTTCTCCAGGCTAACCAAGCCCAACTCCCTCAGCCCTTCCCCATATGCTCCAGCCCTTTCCTGCCCTCATTGTCCTTGGCTGGACTCACTCCAGTGCCTCAATGGCCTTTTTGCAGTGAGTACCCAAAGCTGAGCACAGCACTGAAGCGTGACCTCCCCAGTGGTCACTGCCCTAGTCCTGCTGCCACACTGCTCTTGAGCCAGGCCAAGATGCCCTTGGCCTTCTTGGCCACTTGTGCACACTGTTGGCTCTCACTGATCTGCTGCTACCAGCACTGCCAAGGCCCTTCATGCCAAACATTTCTCTCCCCACTCCTCCCCCAGCCTAGATCTGCACAGGGCTGTGGTGGCCCAAGGGCAGGACCAACACTAAGCCTTATTGAGTCTCATGCACGCAGCTGTCCTCAGCCCACTGATGGAGTCAGTCCAGGCCACTCTATAGAACTTTCCTACCCTCAGGCAGATCCAGTCCCACTCAACTTAGTGTCCTCTAAAAACGTCCTGAGGTTCACTCAACCCCCACATTTAGATCATCAATGAAGATGTTCCACAGGACACTGGGGAACGCTAGTGAGAGCCCCAACTGGCCACCCAGGACTGTCCTCGAGGCTCACCTTGCAGGGCACTGTGTGTGGCTTCCCGATCTTGTTGCCCCAGTATCCACGGCGCACAGGCACGATGGACAGCTTGGCCAGGATGATGGCACCACGGATGGCCGTGGCCACCTCCTTGGAGCACTTCACCCCCAGCCCCACGTGGCCATTGTAGTCCCCAATGGCCACAAATGCCTGTGGAGGAAAAAAGGTTTCACAGCAAATGAGCAGGAGCTTCTGAGCAAGAAGACAATCCATGGAGATCTCTCACAAAGGTAATCCATGGTAGGTGCTCAGCAGGGAACTGAAACCTGTTTTTCCCTCAGAGCTCCTTAAAACAAGCCAAGGTTCAACAACTAGGATCCAAATTCCTTATGCAGCCCCACACTGATCACAAATCACAATGATTTCCCAATACCCTTCCCTTTTTATCCCCAAAACTCCTCAAAAAACCCAACACTATGCAAAGTGCAACTTTGTAGACCCGAAGTAGTTTGGCTGAAGGAACCTCCAAGGGTCACTCAGGATGACTTTTGGGGCAGTGATGATTCAGGTAACACCTGAACATATCACTAAGATCTTAGTACACTTAGTAAGTTGCTAGTCATAGAACTTTATGGGCTGGAATGGCCCTTAGAGATCATTCAGTCCCAATCCCCTGCCCTGGGCAGGGACACCTCCCACCAGAGTAGGTTGCTCAAGGCTTTACCCAACCTGGCCTTGAACATGGTCCTTGTAGCACAGTACTTAGTAGGTGTCACAGGAAAAGGGATTGGAGTGATTGAAATGATGCTAAGGATACACATGGAGAAGGTTTTGGTGGGAGAACAGAAGTACCTTGAACCTGGTGCGCTGCCCTGCACGAGTTTGCTTCTGCACAGGCATGATCTTCAGCACCTCATCCTTCAGGGAAGAGCCCAGGAAGAAGTCGATAATCTCTGACTCCTGCAACAGTCAGGCACTCATTACACACAGGCCTAGAATTCCAGAAGAGCTTGGGTTGGGTTGGAAGAACCTTAAACACCATCCAGGTTTTTCCTTCCACCAACCCAGGTTGCTCCAAGTCCCATTCAACCTGGCCTGGAACACTTCCAGGACTGGGGCAGCCATAGCTTCTTTGGGCAACCTGTGCTAGTGCCTCAGCACCCTCATAGTGAGGAATTCCTTTCCAATCTCCGATCTATCCTGCCCTCTAGCAGTGTGAAGCCCTTCCCCCTTGTCCCATCACTCCATGCCTTTTCCCAAGACCCTATGCAGATCTCTTGGATGCCCTTTAGGCACTGGAAGGGGCTCTAATGTATCTCTGTGGAGCTTCTCTTCTCTAGGTGAGCACCCCTAGCTCTCCCAGCCTGGCTCCATGACAGAGTTGCTCCAGCATCGTTTCCATACTCATAGCCACTCACCTTGATGGGAAGCGAGAAAAGATAAATCTCCTCCAAAGACTTAATCTTCATATCCTTAACCAGGCGACCAAGCTTGGTAACAGGAATCCACTACCAAAGAAATCCACAGATAAGCAACACCAGGTGCCATCACCGCCGGGACCAGC